GGCTCTGGCGGATCGGACGTTCGAGCTTTTTCGAAAGCTGGAGGGCAACACGGTTCTAAGGGTCGTGGGCGCTCGCCTTCGGGGCGAACGCCTCAAGCGGCAACCCCTGGTACATCAACTAGTGGAGGCCATGGCGCAGCTACAGGTGAGTTCGTGACCAAGACGCAGAGGCAGGTCCTTGGAGTGCGGTTGCAGAACAATCACAACGTGTGTTACATCAACTCGCTGGCTCTGCTGTGGGCGTGGGCTTCATCGTTCAGCAATAATCTTGAGTACTTTGCAGGTGCGGCGACTCCGGCTCTCCGAGCCATTCTTACGAGCAAGGGGCTGCTCAATCTTCTTGAGCTACTGCCTTGGCAATGCTTTTATCGCGGATGGCCCAATCTGCGACTTCAGCATGATGTGCAAGAATGGTGTGATCATTTATTTACTCAGGTGATGCCTCGATTTTTGGATGGATCATGGCATGCGAGACTTCTTAGTCTGGAGCTCAGGGACAGTGCCCACACGTATTCGCCCGTTTGGATGACATTACCTTCACATTTACAGGAGTGTACTTTGCAAACAGTGGTGGATCAGTGGAGTGCTCAGGATGCTATACATGCATTGTGCGAACCTCCTGAGGTATTGTGTGTATGCCTCGCAAGGTTCGGCTATGATGATGGTGAGGCCTTCAAGCGCACAATGTCGGTAAGTTTGCACAGCTTGTCCATCATGATTCCCTGCTTTCTGGATGAGAACAGTTTGGAAACCCGTAGTTGTTCTTACACGGTTATTGGTGCTATTTCACACTATGGTCAGACTGTTAATTCTGGACACTACAGGGCCATGCTGCACAGTGCATTGGAGTCATGTTGGTACATCACTGATGACGGCTCTCGGGCCAAAAGGGCCAAACACAGCGACATGCAACACCTTTTCAGAAATGCTTACTTGATTTGGCTGAGAGCTGAGGGCTGATGCAGTTTACGGCTCACTGGCAAGCGAGGGTGTACAATCCTCGCTGGACGCAGGAGGTTGTGCATGCTGTCGGGGATGTGGCTCGCCACTCCTACGGGCACCCGTGCTCTCTGCCGCATGTCGCGCCGGACGCGGTGCGCATGCTGAGTGACGGAGCTGCTAGGGTAGGGTCTTGGGTTGACTGTAACAACAAGCTCAGTCTTCCCTGTAGGGGTACGTACACTCGTACAGTTGCTTTCGTACAGCTCTTTCGTACAGTTTTCTTGCATTTGATTTCGGACTGAAGTCGTGAAATCAGTGCTCGCTTAGTGCTTCGGCACGGGGCGCTTTTTGTGCTTGCTAGGTGCTACGGCACGGGGCGCAAAGCTTGCAGCCTAGAGCTGCCGTGTGACACACGTAGGCTTACGCCAGGCGACCTTCAGGACGCTGCGCAGTCAAAAAAAAGCTTAGCCAACTAAGCTTCTCGGCCCAAGACCGGTTGCTGTGAGTGGTGGGTAGCGGGGCGGGGTAGCTGTAGCCTTTCGTAGGGACACGCATGGACTGCAGCACTCGTTGCCGACTGTTTCCTGAGCCCACGCTGCACCTTCAGTCAGCGCGACTACGCATGCTTTTCATTACTTTGCTTGGCTTGGTGTTTTCATTTCACAACTTTTCTTCACACAGTATTCGTATTTGCCACATGGATTTTCCGGAGAACGCATGCAGTGCAGCAACAGCACCTTATGAGAACATGGTGATGGCCGCTCCGGTCCCAAGTCCGGAGGCTGGGGTCCCAGAAGAGTTCAGGCTTCTTGCTCAACTTCTGGATCGCAGTAGAAGCGAGGGTTGGGGTTTCCTTCGTCAGGGCCCTGAGAGCGGGATGGATATGGATCTTCAAAAGCTTCTTGCACCCGCGAAAATCGACGATCGAGGCAGTCCTTCAGGGTTCACACAGGCTAGAAAGCGCTCCTACAAGCGAGCGATTCTTCGGGCGAGGAGATGGGGATACACGCAGTACAAAGGCACAGCGGTCGACGAAGGCGACCTCACGGGCATGTACACCAACAAAGCACAGCAAACTTGCCGTCAGCGTCACAGGTACACAGGGTCATTGACACGATCGGAGGCCTCGCTCTCTTTGCTTTCATGGAATTGCGGGGGACTCAGTACACTGCAGGATGAGATGTTCACTTGGCTTGCTTCCACCGATTACCAGATAGTATGCCTACAAGAGACATGGTTTAAGAGTCACATGGACTACAGCACCAGGGGCTGGCATTGTATCAACTGCGGCGTCGGCGAGAGCGCAAAGCGGGGGCACGCAGGAGTGATGGTTTTATTGAGGGCTAGCCGATTTGATCAGCAGAGCATTCGCTTCAATTATGTGGTGGCAGGGCGACTCTTGCACGTGAAAGCCTACGGCAAGGGCATAGGCTGGGTGGAGATAGTCAACGTCTACCAGCATGCGTGGGGACTGCACGGCGAACAGACCACCATAGAGGCCAAGAGGGCTACGCTCTGGGAGAAGATGAGGCTGACGTTGGGCCAGATCCCTCAGAGCAGTGCACTTATCGTTTGTGGTGATTTCAATACAGCGCTTCAGCACCGAGCTCCATAGGTGGGTCGAGGTCTTCCGAGGCAGCAGCAGAGTTCGTCAGATGCAGAGGCTCTAGAACACATTCAGAATGATTTTGATTGCATTGCTGCCAACACTTTTCACAGGTCCGGGTCGTACACATACATACATGAGGGATTCGCGAAAGCGCGGCGCTCATTCATTGACTATGTGATGCTCCGAAGACACAAGCACCGCTCCATCACTTCCAAAATCATCAGCGATTTTGAGGTGGGACGCTGGCGAGCAGGAGGACGGCATCTACCTGTCCATGTGGTCTTCACGCATCGACCTTACTACTCCAATAGTCCCAGAACCCCCTGCGCAGAATGGCCGAGCTGGAAATGCAAACTGCTCGCTCAACAGGTCAAGGAGCATCCCGAACTTGTGGAGCAGTTTCAGCAGCAGGTTGCGGAATCACTAACGGCTGTCACCTCTTACGAGCCCCAGCAGCTGAATGACCTGCTGCTTGAGGCGGGCAAAAAGGTCTTCACGATCCGGAGGCCCCCGAGCTTACCTGCTCCAGCTGAGGACCCAGAACATGTCGTTACCATCAAAACCATGTGGGGACACTACAGGGAGATGCGCAAAGCTCAGCTGGATTGCTCCGGCAGTGGGCGGGCTACGCTGCGAGGAGCCATTCAGGCTTGGCGACATTGGATGCAGTTCCATCGCATGCATCGGCAGGTACAGAAACACAGTCGTAGTTTGCGACGGCAGCGGTTCGAAAGGCTCCTGGCTGAGGCGCAGGCCCATGAACGCTCGGGTTGCAGTTCGGCGATCTTCGACTTATTGCGTAGGCATGCACCGAAGCAAGCCCGTCGGCGTGCACAACTGCGAGATGTGCGTGGCAAGCTCATGACTCCAGCAGAAGAAGCACAGGTATTGCTCACCTTTTGGCAAAGTGTCAATGGTGGAACCAGGCCCAGTGGAGACGAGCCCACCAGCTACACGTTCCATATCACATGCGAGGAGCTCAGAGATGCTCTTCAGCGGTTGCAGGGTAACAAAGCAGCACCCAAACATTGTGCTCCACACGTGTTCTGGAGTATGGCTTCGGAGCACATTGCCACGTTCATGAGCGAGCAGGTGTTCCATGATTGGCAGCAGGGCGGCACTCGTGTCCCTCAGGACTGGGCTTCGGCATGGCTGGTGTTCCTAGGAAAAGCGGGCAAAATCGGGGATTCTCCCGCGCATCTCAGGCCCATAGCACTGCTCGAGCCCATGGGCAAAGCGGTTGCCGGCATCTTGAAGGATCGTTTGATGCCGTTTGTACAACCCTGGACTGCACCGCAGCACCTGCATGGCTATCTCCCACACCGTTCTCCTCTTCAGGCTCTCTGTGTGGTCTTCGCACACTGTCGCGACGTTAGGGCGGCTGCGCAGGCACAAGGTCGCTCGCTTTACGATCTACGAGCAGGACACAAGCGAGGCTCATGCGCCGGTGGTCTACAGCTCAGTATAGATTGTACCCAAGCATTCGACAGAATCAGCCGCGACCTACTGCAGAGAGCACTGGAGATGCTGGAGGTTCCCGCCGATTTAATCGGCATCATCATGCAGTGGGTCCATTCAACCAAGTTCCACATAGGCGGACATCCAGATGAAGTACAATATGGCTCCGACAAGGGCATTAGACAGGGGTGCAAGCTCTCACCGACTCTCTGGGTCTGCATCTCGGTATACTTGCTTAGACGCATGGACAACACCTTGGGATTGAATTGGTGCCAACAGCACGGAGTAGGATTCGCGGACGACTTGCACTTCAGGTGGAGGTTTGAGGACGTGGCTGGCATGCAGCTGGCACTCAAACAGGCGGGCACCGTCTTGCAACTCCTTACTGCCTGCGGACTCATAATCAGCAAGGAGAAAACTGTTTGCCTGCTTAGAGCAGATGGGGTTCAGGCACCGAATGCAATCAAGAAGGTGGTACGCAAGACCAAACAAGGCAAGCTGCTCAAGCTCGACATGAACTGGGAAATGCCGCTCAAGAAGTCGCATATCTATCTAGGGGCCTGCATCTCCTACGAGAACTTCGAGTCACAGAACATGCAGCATCGACTTCAGGCATGCCGTGCAGCTTTCAGCCGATTACGTACCACGCTCATGGCGCACAGGGCCCTCAACATGCACCGACGACTCCAACTGTGGAAAGCAACAGTGGTGACCTCAGCTATGTACTCACTTCTGGCCTCGGGTTTTAGTGCAAAGACGATGGATCAGTTTCGGGTTGTGCTCACGCGGCAAGCCCGCGCCATTGCTCGCAGCCCAGTTCACTTGGACCTAGAGAACAATGATAAGTTCTGGCGGCGGATAGGCATCATTGCGCCAGTGGACATGATCCTGCAACGGCTCGAACGAGCCGTCACCGTCACCACCACCTTGAAGGCCAAACTGAGGGAAGATGATGCCAGGATATCCAGTATCATCCTTGATCACGAACAGGCCGTTCTTGCTCGGACCCGGGAGATATTGACCGAGGCCCAAAAGGCCGCAGGCGACGCAGAAGACAGTCTGACACATGTGTGTCAGGAGTGCGGCGCTAAGTTTGGCACCTGGGCAGCGCTGCGTGCACACGCGGGCAAGCTTCACAGTCAGGCCCGAAGACAGGAGGCCAAAGAGCAAACACCCGACTTTGACCAGCAGCGGCACGGGAAGGACGGAATGCCCATTTGCTCGCAATGCAATCATCGCTTCCCACGGTGGGCAGACCTCCGCAAACACATTGAGGGCGGCCACTGTCAGGCAGCATCCACCATTGCGACGGAGCCAGCATCGGGCACAGATAAAGACTCGGTCATGCAAATTGTCAGGGCAGGGCAGCTCGATGTGCAAAACTTGCGAGTGGAGGCCGTCACGGCTGATCTGCGAACGGAGCTCATGCAGCATTGCGCACTTTGCAGGCAGTGGCACCACGACCACAAGTATCTTAAGAGACATTGGCAGCGCTCACACACAGAAGAATGGGAGACACATTCAGCTCCTACATTTCAGTGGCGCAGGCAGCATATCGACAAAATCAAGGTGATGTGTGAGTGGTGTGGAGCGCAGGTCCCGAGCAAAGCGGAGCACAGGGATACATGTCCGGTCTTGTTTCAGCTCTCCATGATCAGGTCCATCCACGTGAGCAACGAGCACAATGTACCCAGCCAAGCCAGTGCGCCTGACATTCCTTTTCCTGCAGAGGCAGAGATCAAAAGATGGCACGGAGCTTGTCAGTTGTGTGGGCTTACATGTACATCACGGTCTTTGCAGAAACACTTTGAGACGGTGCATGCTGAGTCCTGGAGCATGTTGGGGCCACGGGTCAAACAGCTGTGTAGTCAGTGGACAAGTGGTCTGGGCAGTAAATGTCAATTCTGTCTAGGTGGCTACGGCAAGAAGGTCAAACATGCCAACAGCTGCTCTGAACTCATACAGAATGCGTTGTACAGTGTAAACCGGCATCGACAAACACACGACGCTGGAGCCACATTGCCCGACCATCATGACGGAGGAGTTGGCCACGGCGGACATGCAGTTCCAGGAAGTGTTCGGTCCGGTGTTGGGGAAGCGGTTGCTGCAGGAGGAGCCGAAGGTCCAGGACAGACCGAGCAAGCAGAACAAACCGGCCAACAGGGGACCCAAAGGCAAAGGAAAGGGCAAAGGAGGTGGAAAGCAGTTCCGAAAGCCACAGCACCAGCCCAGCAGCTGGAACAGTGGATACAGCGGGGACATGGACTGGCTCGTGGACGCCATCCAACTGATGGCCAGAATGATGGTGAGACAGGAGGATGTCCTGCACGTCCTCAGGCAGTCGACCGGGTGGGTGTGGTGGCTAAGCATCTCCACACCAACCATAGTACCGGATCTTTTCCAGGCGGCGCAGGTGTGGCGGAAGGAGGTGTCCCAACCCGACAGCAAGATGGCCAACACCAGTCTCCGATCGGCGCTCTTCTGGTGTCTGCTGCACCAGCTGGCAGCGACACTGGGGAGCATGGACCAGACGAAACTGGCGGAGGCGAACAAACAAGGCTGGCTCACGGCGGAGGGCAGATGGGTCTACCAAACATGGCAGAAAATCAGCAGCTCATGGTGGACGAAACAAAGCCGGGCATGACCACTCAGGAAGTCGTCCATCTACTGAACGACATGAAGGGCTTGGTGAGCGGCGACACAGTGTCGCGCTTTCACTCAACGAGGCCACTAGTGGAACAGATGTCGGGGCACATGCTCACCATGGTTATGGACATATCGTTCCGCAAAGCCTCAGCGAATGCGTTATACAGCAAACTGGAGAAACTTCAGGGAAGTGCGGCGCTACAGGTGTGCGGAGTTCAGTATCGCAAGGAAGGCTTCAAGCGCTCGCCGGGAGCGCAGAGGTTGCTGGAGCTCGTGGCCTAGTCCGAACCCTGGTTTTACGGAATCCTAGCAACTATTGCTACATCAACACTGCGGTTCGAGGTCTACTCTGGTCGCTTGTCTCGCTCGGGCAGTGGGCGACAGTCTTCACGAGGACCGGAAAAGAAGCACTTAACCTCATCCTGAACCATCAGCAGCGGTCCCTAATGATCATTGGCATTCCTATGTGGAGGCTGCTGCTACACGACTGGGGGAACCCACATATGCAACACGATGTGTCGGAGTTCCTGTCTTTTCTGCTGTGTAAGCTAGGTGCCACACGACTCACATGCCAGTGGGAAGCTCGGACCACCACAGACGAGCACTGCCAGGTTGTGGACAGGGGCGATTGCGTGGAAGCAATCACGCTACAGTGTTGCAGTGGCGGGGAGCAGCTCGAGGGGTATTCTCTTTGTTCATACACACATACAGTTACTGGCGACTGGATGCAAAACATTTGTACAGCTCGCGTACCATTGTTACGCATGTTCAGTGACAAGCTGTGCCTTGCGTTGACACTGTCGCTCTTTATGCTTTCGTGCTTTTATTGAGTTCTTGTGCCTGACCGCCCCAATTATTCTCGAATCACAGTTTCACGAAATTTCGGCCACATCCCTGGTGACGATGTTCCATGGCTACAGGCTGTGAAGACTCAGATGTGACCTTGCAGGTGTTGCGACTTCCTGCCCCGTGGTTTGAGACAGCACTTACGCCTGAGATGTATTATTATGACCCTCGCCCGGACGACGACATGCCGGATGACGATGCCACCATCATTGACTCTTCTTTGCGCAGCAGCTCCAGTCAATCATCTTTGGCCTCCGATTGTTCTTGCTGCTCTGACGGGTTTGCGATTGAGTTTGATCTTGTGCGCACGCTGTCAGATGCTTTCACTGACATGGGGGAGCGAGCCAACCAGCTGGCATACACCTGTCTGCATACAGGGTTCGTGACCTTTAGTCAATTACAGCAGCTATGCCTTCTTCTACCAGTCGATGCGAAGCCACGCAAATCACTACTACTCGCGCTGCCAGGAGTCCCGGTGCTTTACAACAGGTGCCTACATCTTCGGTGGCGAAGCGGGGATCCGAACAAGCATGCGTACTTATTTGTGGGTGACGAGGCTACTCTGCTGTATAGTTAAATCTGCTGCGGGTTCGAGGCCCTTTACAACTGTCACACTCTCGCTGAATCAGCAGTCTGGGGTACATGTGGATGCACGCAACAGCCGGACTTTTCAAAATATTGTGATTCCGGCCGGCTATTGGGACGCTGGCGAACTTTGGGTCTCCAGGGACAGTGGCTGCATCACATTCCCAGGTACCGAGCTGCTAGGCGATGTTGTGCCAGTAAAACACCCTTTTACCTTGCTGGATGCAACGCAGCCGCATGCAGTGTTTGACTGGACGGGAGAGCGGACGGTCGTCATTGGTTTTCACATACGAGATGCATGGAGACTTCAACCGGATGATCTCGCCATGCTTGCTGATGCTGGCTTCCATGTTCGGACCTGTGAGCGAGTGACTGACCCATACATGTCGGTCATCGAGGTGCAGTGACTGTGTAGTGCCTGTCAGTTCAGTTGTCAACCAGTGCTGCTGAAGCGTGCTTTTCGGCACTTAGAGGGCTGCTTCTTAGTCTGCCGCTGTTGTCTGCCGCTGTAGCCGAGTTTTTGTTTCTTACTGTAAGAGGGCTCCTGCTTGCACAAACGCACGCAAGTGTTGAAAGAGCCAACTCCTCTCGCCTCGAAGTTTTGACGAACCTTTTGTACTCTGTGTTCTAGTGTAGTGGGAACCGTGCACTTGTCGCTAGGGCATACGTGCCGGACTTGTTGAGCACTGTCTAACAGTGCTAGGGGCCAAGCGTCCACAGAGACGCCAGGTTGCGAAAACCTGTAGTGCCTGAGCTAGGCCAGGCGACCTTCGAGGACGCTGCTGGTGAAAAAAAAGCTTAGCCAACTTGACGTGCACTTGTGCGGAAACAATTGACCCGCACTCAGTGAACATCATTGTGGCCGGGCCGGGATCCTGAGGCGGTGCCGGCTGCTACGAAAATCAGGGAAGGACGCCCGCTTGCTCCTTCGTACGATAGATCTGCGTAAAGCCTATAAGCAACTTCCCTTATCGGAGCGGGCTTTGGGGGATGCTTATATCTGTGTGCTTAACCCGAATACGGGCGAACCTGAACTTTACCAAAGCCAGGTGCTACCCTTTGGCGCCAAGCCATCAGTACAAGGATTCTGTCGTTCTTCGGGGGCAATTTGGAGTGTGGGGCAGGTCCTGCTCCACATCCACTGGAGCGTGTTCTTCGACGATTTTGTAGCAGTATCCTCTCCGGAGGAAAAGGGCCATCTTGATCTTGTGTTGCGGTCGTACTTTGCCTTGATCGGCTGGGAAACGTCTGACGAAAAAGACGCCGGGTTCAAAAGTGTGGCAAAGGCCTTAGGAGTAGAGTTTAGTTTGGACGAGATCCACTTAGGTCTACTTAGGGTTCAAAACACAGAGGCTAGGAAGCGTGAGCTCGTGTCCACGATCGAGTCCATCGTACAGCAAGGTGGAGTGCATGCCAAAGAACTTGAGTGCTTGCGTGGCCGTCTTCAGTTCGCTGAGTCGCAAGTGTTTGGTCGGGGTGCGGCCCAGCGCATGCGAGCTATATCAAAAGCAATGAAGCTCTCGGGCTTTGTAGTTCTCGATGATTCCTTGACCGAGGCCCTGCTCTTCTTGAAAGATCGAGTTTTGCACGGGGAAGCAAGGATGATCAGGGCTTGCGATCGTTCCACCTACCACTTGTTCACAGACGCTTCCTACGAAGCGGATGCGCCAGCCGGCCTAGGAGGCTTTCTTTACAGCGATAGGGGTTTGCTCCTTAGGTGGTACTCCGAGTCTGCCGACCCAGACGTTCTGGAGGCCATAAACAAAGAGGGCAAGCAAGGTCTGATCTATGAATTGGAAGCTTGTGCGGCAGTGCAAGGTGTGGTGCAACTTTGCAACTCTTTGAGTGACTGCAATCTCATTTGCTATTGTGACAATGAGGCCGCCCTCGCGGCCCTCATCAAGTGTGCTTCCGATTCCCCGGTGGTAGCATCGCAGCTCAACAAGCTCAGCATGCTTGAGGATGAGAAAGGAATCAGCATATGGTTTGAGAGAGTGGAGTCATCTGCGAACCCTGCCGATGATCCTTCGCGATTTGTGTTTGGCAAGCTTCCTACCAACTTCAGAGTCCGTTGGGCCCCAGGCGAAGAGCTGTTGTTCTAGCGGCACCTGATCTTGAATGGGGAATGGCATCAGTTGCCCTTTTCGCTTGCAGGATGTTCGTTTCTCACTTGCGGGATATTGCCGGAAACTTCGTTGCAGGACGATCGTAGTTTTGCCAGTCTTTGTACATCCACGAATGTGGAGCCGGAATCCAACAGTCTGCACCCGTCGCTCAAAAAAAAAAAGAAGTCCGAGTGCGATTGCTTCAGTCTGTGAGTGCAGTTCGTGTACATGTACTTCTGCTTTGTTGGTGCGCTTGGAATGAAAACATAACCAAATAAGAACAACCTCTCCCGAAGGCGGATGTTTTCTTATTTGATTGTTTTCATGTTGGAAAAATTGTTTACAATTTTCGGGCGCACTTTTTCCAGTCATGTCTTGCGGGGGTTATTTGCATGACATGATGTTTTCTCACGTTTGCTTTGCCATGCATGTCAGTGGCATTCGCAGTTTTGCTTGCAGGCGTGAGAAAATTTTTTGTCCCACCCGCCCACCCCTCGGGGGAATGGCATCAGTTGCCCTTTTCGCTTGCAGGATGTTCGTTTCTCACTTGCGGGATATTGCCGGAAAACCAAATAAGCCCGATCTTCAACGCTCACGCTCTTCTCGACCGTGCCTTTCCATCATTCACCCGTTTTGTCCACAACAAGTCCGCGGCATGGCTCTTCACCGTGGACTTCAGCACTGGATCTTCGTTCCTTCCAGCTACAAGGAGTTGGGTCTGATTCGACTCGGGCGATTTTGATGACGCGCGCTCAGGACCTGGACAAAGAAGCTGTTCTCGATGTTGTTGCGGTCTTCTGACATGCTCATTTCCCGCAGCCATTTTATACTTTTGGCCCCTGTCGCTTGGTTCCCTACACCTCCTCATCTTCCTCATGGGTCCACACCGCTCTCGCACTCCACCTTCCCGACGACATCGCCTACCTGGACGTGAGGAACCTTCTCGAGGTGATCCCTATTCTTCCCAGCGACATGCGACGACGCAACCTCCCAGGTCCGGGTCCTTTCGGAACAATCGTGCACACAGCCGGACGTCCCCTCCTCGGTCCCGACGACACCGGAGCCGAACCCCGGTTTCGAGGCTCAGGCCGTGGCTCATGACGTTTTCTTTAGCCCACCCAACCCTCCCTGGAATGTCAGCACATTCCGAGAATAGTCTTTTCCATGCCGCGGGGGGGTTGGATGCATCAACATGCATCCGCCCTACCAAGGGCACCGCGAGACTACCAACCGCTGCGAATAAAACGAGGTAACAGCGCCTGGTACGTGACCGGCGTTTGGTGGCTTTGCTGAAACGGGCAATGTGCGAAAACCTAGGGAAAACGTGTATTATGATTAAAAACTTGTGGTAGGAAAGGCGGAGAATCCCTGTGACAGGTCGATCGTTTCAGCGAAAACAGTGCTGGCACTGCAGTAAAAAGCACTTTTGCGAGCACCGCGCTGCGCAAACTTCGTCAGCAGCACTTGTTGGCTGCTTCGCAGAGTGCTGCAAGACTTGCGTACACATCTGAGTGCATACGCCGGAACTGATACTGCCGCACGTACTGCCACATCCGGTCAAGATTGGCTGAGCGGCGTCCTTTCCCGGAGACTCTGTTGCGCAGCGTCTTCGGAATAGAGCCCTGAAGATGCATGCACACGCGGTCATTTTGCTGCGTGCCGGCCAAGCTAGGAACCCAAGGCGACGCCAAAATCTTCAGGGCAGGGATGCTCGGAGGTCTAAGTCAAAACAGATGAAAACTGGTCGAAAGCAGACTGCATGAAACCCGGAGCCTGCCCCAAAGGTCTCTTCGAGCTCGCTGAAGGGGCACCTCGCAAAGGCGGCCAGCTCGGTTGGCAGCTGCCCGTTCTGCTCTCGCAGAATCAGCAGGAGAGCCAATCCCACGGACAAGAGCTGCTGAAAGTTCGCGAAGGTGAGCATGGCTTCACTCAGAGCTACACAAGCCGTGGTGGATGATCGAACGTTCTGGGAACCTGCCATCATCGTCGTCTGTCAACATGTTGATCGGAACATGTGCGCTTACGCCTCGCTGAAGACTGCAAGCTTTGAGACTAGACACTTCACACTTCAGCCCGGAGTGGTTTTTGGCAGGAAGCTGCAGAAAGTGATTCGACGCAGAGCAACAAGCACACAACATGCTCCAAGCAGTCTCTGGGAGTTAAGGGTCGGCACAGGGCGGAATTAGCCCCCCCCCCCACCCCCCACCCCCCCCCAACCCCTCCCCCCTGTGCCGATACACCCCCAAGGATATGCTCCTTGTTAGGAGGTGTATGACCAGTTTATTCCCTAAGGATCAAAGGGCAGCGCCCTGCACACGGACAGTAGTTGTTTTGTCTTGCTACGCAAGGAGAGCTTGTCTTGTCTCAATATGGTAAAACCACTTGAGCCAATGGGCAGCGGAATGTATATGTATGAGCATGCAGCCATTGCTGTAGGTACCTGTTAGAGCTACCCCTTTAGAGGTTTATGGTTTCAAACAGACACTAATTTTCTTTTACCGGAAGCATGGCCGCACATTCACACATATACTATTATGCCCACTGTCACAGTTGCGGAGTCTGGACTCATGATGAAAACAGCATATTATTTAAGCTAGGTATAGCACTGAAGTACACTGCTGAGGACACTCCTTTTGCACACACTCATGCATGTTGGTCAGAGAGATCGTCTGTACAAGATCATGTCTGGTGATATTTTCTACATCGAATTATGCAGCCCTTCACTTTGCTCTTGTTAGAGCTTTGTGAGTCACTGTTGTGAAACTCCGAGATTTTCCTTATCTCAGATTTGGATCCAGGTTTGGATCATAGGCTCGAGCGTAGACGTTCGGATGTGGCTCATCCGGGTCTGAGTGATCTTCTTCGGAACTTGAATAAATTCCGAGTAGTCTGTTCTCAGCCCTGGTGAAGGCGGCGTCTGCAGTATCATATCCATGGTTGGATGTTGTCGCCTTTGGCTCGGCCTTTGGCGCAGCTTGTGAGCTGACTGGAGTTGCCTTGGCTTTAGCCGGTTGTGGCTGCTTAGCCTTTGCCCGTTCAGCCCTTCTTCTTTCAAGCTGTCCGTCTGAGGACGCCCATGATCTTTCACTTTCATCTCCTGAAGGAGATAAGGCGTGGGCATAAAGGCTATTCCAGTACTGTGCTGCAGAAGGAGTTAGGACTTCTTCATTGTCAGATTCTGACTGGTCTTCCTCAGAGCTTTGGTCGTCAAAGAGTGTCTCGAGGACATTTTTGAGATTGTTATTTCTTCGCTCTATCTCTAGTGAGGAATGGACCAATTGGTTAAAGACTGTCCTTGAGTCCTTCAGTGCTGTTAGAAGGATTTCCACTCTGGATAGAGTATCTTGGATGGTGTCAAGATGTTCCTTCCTTTCCTCCTTGTCTCTCTGGATAGAGCTTCGCAATGATTGTGCGATTCTGAGGAGGTCTGTGTATTTCGTAAGAGGCATAGTTACCGTTTGATTGTCATGTATGACAGTTGTTTCGTCGCCGCTTAAGTTCCTGAATAGGACTTCCACGACTGGTAGAAACTCCGTGCTCCACGGTTCCTCTTCATCATATGTTTCTACGTGCTGTAGCACGCGTTGTGTAAACTGATCGGCTGCTTCTACCGTTGCATCGATAGAGCTGACGTGTCTTGCTGCCATGTTTCGGCACGTAATGTTAATTGCCTGGCCTTGATTGGCTTCGTTAAGTGCAGCGTCTGCATAGGTGCAGAGTCCACTGTTGTGGGCTTCTCTGGCTGCCTTTCGTTGAATGCGCCGATTTTGACCTCCTCTTCTGGTAGGACCTTTTGGTCTCGGAGGATCTGAAGGTACTGTTCCTTTTGCCTTTGGCGGAGGACTCTTAGGTGGAGGTGACATGTTTGCCTTGTTAGGCACTGGTGGCATTGCCTTGGGCGCTGACGACGATGCGGCACTTGAGAGTGCAGATGTACCTTTGGCTTTTGCCGAGGATCCCTTGGGGATCGATGTATAGGTAATCTGCATGGCTTCTTCGGCCATTTGTGCATGCAATGCATCTTTGAATAATTGCGTCATATGAGGAGTGGTACTTGCATCATCGTAGGTCTGGAAGCGCTCAATGTCTCTTTCGGTGCCACGTGGACGTGTATCACCTCTTTGAAAAGGATCGTTCCTGCGAATCTCCGCAACTTGTACTGCATGGAGGCAGTTTTTGCACAGCACCTTCCTGCAAACATCTCTTGCTTGCTTGAGCTGGTAACAGCTGTCTGAGAGATGGTAGACTTCGCTTCGGGAAGTATGCCAGATAGGTCGCAGATCAGTTGTTTCTCCGGAATTGACCCTGTTGGGTCCTAAAGGTTCACGCGTCTGCGGTTCATCCTCGGGTTCGAGGAATGGAACTCTTTGGTTCGCTGCTGCTTTTGATTTTGGTTGTTGGCGCTCCATACATCTGATAGGAGGCCTGGTAATCTGCTTCCACATCCAGTGTAAGCCCATTAGCAGCAGAAACACATTCCACGCGATGCTGAAGACGGAGAAGTCCTGCTCACTGGTTAGTGAGTTTGGAAGTGAAGTTTCATCAGTCTTGATAGACTCTGCGTTCGCTCCACCTTGGTTGCGGTGTCCGAACCAGCCCGACAACCCCGCTGCTGTAGCAGCTGTTCTGAGTGCCTTGCCGCTCGGAGCAGACGGTGGACGCGATGCCTTCCTTCTTCTCTCCGGCTGGAGGATTCGTCCTCTTGTTCCTCTTCATCTCTCTGAGCAGACATCAAGTTTGATGTTTCTCTTTCGTGTTCTTCGATGTCACTTTTTGTTGGTGACGGTTCCTCTTCTAGTCCATCCAGCTCTTCCAAAGACATGTTGAGCTTGTCAACAATATTGGTTCTTTGAGGCCTGGACCTTGATCTTGGTAGATCTTGTTGTGAAGAGGACGATGATTCCTGGTTCCTTCTTGGAGGAGGACCTTCAGGCTCGCTGGGACGTTCAGGCTGTGGCCATTCCCAGAATCTTCCGTATCTGTGATGGCTACCTGAT